TGGGGGGGCGGGTTTGCTTTCTTTTTCCCCTCTTCTTGGTCCTTCTCTACCCCATGATGGAACTACATTACTATTTGCTCCTAATTTGCGGGGTTGTATGGGTCCCCGTGCGGACAGGCAGCGTACATGCATACATTAAGGATAGACAGTATAGACAGTGCTAGTGCTGGTGCTAGTGTTAGTGCCAGTGCTGTTCAGCAAATGGAGCCGCGAACTGAGGCGACGTCTCTCTATCTATCTATATATCTATATCTACCTATCTACCTATCTATTTGTATATATGCACATGTCTATGTATATGCTCATTATATCCTCAATGGAAAGGAGGTGCAGTAAGCAGAAGCCACAATATGTTTCGCACCCTTCTGAGGTACACTTCTGCCTACTACCCCTGCTTGTCCAAAACCTGCGAAAATAGCCTCCCCGACGAACATGCTAAAAACACACCAAATCGCACACATTTTAGGGCAGTAGTAACACTAAATTTCCTGCCTCCTGCCTACCGGACGTCTCAGACTATAAGCCAAGTCAAGGTCTCACAGAAGGAAGGGTCTCACAAAAGGCAAAGCCTCACAGAAGCCAGGGAGGCAAGGCCTCACAGAAGCCAGAGTCTCACAGAAGGCAAGTCTTAGAGGGCAAGGTCTCACAGAAAGCAAGGTGTGTCACTCATAGCAGGGACTCACACAAGGCATGGTTTCACATCTGAAACAAAGGCATGGTTTCACAGAACATAAGGTGTCACATGTTGAATTGAGGCTTAACTCTCACAGAAGGCCGGGCCTCACAGAAGGCAGGGCCTCACAAAAGGCAGGGCCTCACAGAATGCAAGGTCTCACAGAAAGCAAGGTCTCAGAGAAGGAAGGGTCTCACAGAAGGCAAAGCTTCACAGAAGCCAGAGTCTCACAGACAGCAAGGCCTCCCAGAAGCCAGGGCCTCGCAGAAGGGCAAGATCTCACAGAGGGTCTCACAGAAAGGCAGGGCTTCACAGAAGACAGAGACCACTAAACAAAGGCAGGGTCTCACAGAAGGCAAGGCCTCACAGAAGCCAAGGTCTCACGGAAGGCGAAGTCTCACAGAGGGCAAAGCCTCACAGAAAGCAAGGTGTGTCACTCATAGCAGGGACTCACATAAGGCACGTTTTTACATCTGAAACAAAGGCATAGTCACACAGACGCAAGGTCTCACATGTTGGATGAAGGCCTAGCTCTCACAGAGGCAGGTCCTCACAGAAGGCAGGGCCTCACAGAATGCAAGGTCTCACAGAATGCAAGGTCTCACAGAGGGTCTAACATTATGAACAAAGGCAAGGTCTCACAGAAGGCACAGGAGGGAAGGCCTCACAGAAACGCAGGCTCTCACAGACTGCAGGGCCTGACTGAAGGCAAGGCCCAACATGTGAAAGAAGGCTGGGTCTCATAGAAGGCAGGGTCGCACATAGGACAGAAGGCAAAACTTCACATGTGAGAGAAAGCAAGGTCGGACATGTGACAAAAGGTAGGGTCTCACATATGGCAGAAGAGGGTCTCGCATATGACAGAAGGCAGGGTGTCACACACGAAAGAAGGAGGGGTCTCGCACATGACAGATTGCAGGGTCTCACAGATCTAACAGGGTCTCGCATGACAAGGCCTCACTCACTGGGCAAGCAAATTCAAATAAAGGTCGTAAACAGGCCAGAAGGGAAGGCATCAGAGAAGGCAGGGCGTCATAGCAATTTCTCGCCAAAAAAAGCATCTTGCAGAAGTCTGGGTGCAGCATGGTTTCACAGATGGCAAGGTCTCTCAGAGGGGAAGGCAGGGTCTCACAGGAGGCAGGGTCCCACATCTGAAAGAAAGCATCTTATTTGCAAAGGAAGCATAGGAAAGCAAAATGTTTTTTTTCCGTGATTCTTATGTTTTTCTCTTGTTTTTACCAAATAATCATGTGCCTTCCATGTTTTTCCTGGCAACCCTGGAAAACATCTAATGGGAGGGGTTTGGGAAGGATTATGGGGTGTGTGGGGAGGTGGGTGGGGGGGTTGGTGGTGGTGGAGGTGGTGGGGGTGGGAAGGGGAGGGGTTAAGGAGAATGGAAGGGGTTGGGCAAAGTGTTAAGGGGGTGTGGAGGGGGGTGGGGGGGCGGGGGTGGACAGGAGGGGGTGTGCTGAGGGAGGGAAGTCTTGCTCGCCCCGTTAATTGCGTTTTCCTCGCCCCGTTAATGTTGTCGAACGTTTGTCGGAGGAGGGGGTGGGAGGGATTAAGGGAGAATGGAAGGGGTTGGGGAGGGTGTTAAGGGGGTGTGGAAGGAGGTGGAAGGGGGTGGGGGTGGACAGGAGGGGGGGTGGTCCTGCTCGCCCCGTTAATTGCGTTTTCCTCGCCCCGTTAATGATGTCGAACGTTTGTCGGAGGAAGGGGTGGGAGGGATTAAGGGAGAAGGGAAGGGGTTGGGGAGGGTGTTAAGGGGGCGTGGAAGCGGGTGGAAGGGGGTGGGGGTGGACAGGAGGGGGTGGTGGTCCTGCTCGCCCCGTTAATTGCGTTTTCCTCGCCCCGTTAATGTTGTCGAACGTTTGTCGGAAATCTGCCCTATTCCGACCCTTCCAGCTGCTGTGAGACGCTGCCTTCTGAAAGACCCTACCTACTAGGCTTCTGTCCTGCGAGATCCTGTTAGATCTGTGAGACTTGCAATCTGTCATCTGTGAGACCCTTCCTTCTTTCGTGTGTGAGACCCTGCCTTCTGTCATAAGCGAGACCCTGTTAGATCTGTGAGACCTTGCAATGTGTCATGTGCGAGACCCTCCTTCTTTCGCGTGTGAGACCTTGCCTTCTGTCATATGCGGGACCCTCTTCTGCCATATGTGAGACCCTACCTGTTGTCACATGTAAGACCTTGCTTTCTCTCACATGTGAAGTTTTGCCTTTTGTCCTATGTGCGACCCTGCCTTCTATGAGACCCAGCCTTCTTTCACATGTTGGGCCTTGCCTTCAGTCAGGCCCTGCAGTCTGTGAGAGCCTGCGTTTCTGTGAGGCCTTCCCTCCTGTGCCTTCTCTGAGACCTTGCCTTTGTTCATAATGTTAGACCCTCTGTGAGACCTTGCTTTCTGTGAGACCTTGCATTCTGTGAGGCTTTGCCTTCTGTGAGGCCCTGCCTTCTGTGAGAGTTAGACCTCAGTTCAACATGTGACACCTTGTGTTCTGTAAAACCATGCCTTTGTTTCAGGTGTGAAACCATGCCTTGTGCGAGTCCCTGCTGTGAGTGACACACCTTGCTTTCTGTGAAGTTTTGCCCTCTGTGAGACTTTGCCTTCTGTGAGACCATGGCTTCTGTGAGGCCTTGCCCTCTGTGAGGCCCTGGCTTCTGTGAGGCTTTGCCTTCTGTGAGACCCTGACTTGGTTTATTTTATGATACCCTGCCGTTTGTGAGACCCTGCCTTTGTTTAAGGGGCGAGACCCTGTCTTCTGTGAAGCCCTGCCTTTCTGTGAGACCCTGCCTTCCTTGATGTGTGAGACCCTGCCGTCTGTTTAATTTATATCGAAAAATGTGCTACATGTCTATAGATTGTACCTTGCTCCTAGTATAGACCAAATATAAAATCCTAAACTTCAGTTATGGAAGAATGTCCAGGGCCGGTCCTGTCATTCTGCCGCCAACCAGAAAGTGAGCAAGAGCAGTTCGCGTGTGGGAGCAGTAGAGGAGAGCAACAGTTCGGGAGCGTGTGATTTCACGGGTGAAAACACCTTCAGGTGCGGAATCCATTGTTTCCCCCTGTCTATTGTGTGAGTCCCTGCTATGAGTGACACACCTTGCTTTCTCTAAAGTTTTGCCCTCTGCTAAACCTGGCCTTCCGTGAGACCCTGGCTTCTGTGAGGCCTTGCCTTCTGTGAGACCCTGGCTTCTGTGAGGCTTTGCCTTCTGTGAGGCCCTTCCTTCTGTGAGACCCTGACTTAGTTTATTTTATGATACCCTGCCGTCCGTGAGACCCTGCCTTTGTTTAATGGGCGAGACCCTGTCTCCTGTGAAGCCCTGCCTTTCTGTGAGACCCTGCCTTCCTTGATGTGTGAGACCCTGACTTCTGTTCTAATTTATATCGAAAGCTACATATCTATAGATTGTATCTTGCTCCTATCATTGGCCAAATATAAAACCCTAAAACTTCAGTTTTGGAAGAATGTCCAGGGCCGGTCCTGTCATTCTGCCGCCAACCAGAAAGTGAGCAAGAGCAGTTCGCGTGTGGGAGCAGTAGAGGAGAGCAACAGTTCGGGAGCGTGTGATTTCACGGGTGAAAACACCTTCAGGTGCGAGGTCCTTTATTTCCCTGTCTATTGTGTGAGACCCTGCATTGCGTCATATGTGATACGCATGCCTGTAGCCAAACTAGGCTTGGCACCCCCTGCCTTCTGTGAGACCCTGCCATTGTGTAATGGGCGGGACCCTGTCTTCTGTGAAGCCCTGCCTTTCTGTGAGACCCTCTGTGAGATCTTGCCTTCTGTGAGACCATGGCTTCTGTGAGGCCTTGCCTTCTGTGGGACCCTGGCTTCTGTGAGGCTTTGCCTTCTGTGAGGCCCTTCCTTCTGTGAGACCCTGACTTAGTTTATTTTATGATATCCTGCCTTCTGTGAGACCCTGCCTTTGTTTAATGGGCGAGACCCTGTCTTCTGTGAGGCCCTGCCTTTCTGTGAGACCCTGCCTTCCTTGATGTGTGAGACCCTGCCATCTGTTCTAATTTATATCGAAAACTGTGCTACATATCTATAGATTGTATCTTGCTCCTATCGAAGACCAAATATAAAATCCTAAGCTTCAGTTATGGAAGAGTGTCCAGGGCCGGTCCTGTCATTCTGCCGCCAACCAGAAAGTGAGCAAGAGCAGCTCGCGTGTGGGAGCAGTAGAGGAGAGCAACAGTTCGGGAGCGTGTGATTTCACGGGTGAAAACACCTTCAGGTGCGAGGTCCTTTATTTCCCTGTCTATTGTGTGAGACCCTGCATTGCGTCATATGTGATACGCATGCCTGTAGCCAAACTAGGCTTGGCACCCCCCTGCCTTCTGTGAGACCCTGCCTTTGTTTAGTGGGCCAGACCCTGCCTTCTGTGAAGCCCTGCCTTTCTGTGAGACCCTCTGTGAGGTCTTGCCTTCTGTGGGACCCTGGCTTCTGTGAGGCTTTGCCTTCTGTGAGACCCTTCCTTCTCTGAGACCCTGCCTTTGTTCATAATGTTGGACCCTCTGTGAGACTTTGCTTTCTGTGAGACCTTGCATTCTGTGAGGCCCTGCCTTCTGCGAGGCCCTTCCTTCTGTGAGAGTTAGGCCTCAGTTCAACATGTGACACCTTGTGTTCTGTGAAACCAGGCCTTTGTTTCAGATGTGAAACCATGCCTTGTGTGAGTCCCTGCTATGAGTGACACGCCTTGCTTTCTGTGAGACCTTGCCCTCTGTGAGACCTTGCCTTCTGTGAGATCCTGGCTTCTGTGACGCTTTGCCTTCTGCGAGGGGCCTTCCTTCTGTGCTGCCTTCTGTGAGACCCTGCCTTTGTTTAATGGGCGAGACCCTGTCTTCTGTGAAGTCCTGCCTTTCTGTGAGACCCTGCCTTCCTTGATGTGTGAGACCCTGCCATCTGTTCTAATTCATTTGAAGATATTTGAAGATGTTTGATGGGCGAGACCCTGCCCTACCTTGCCCTCTGTGAGACCATGCCATTTCAAGCTCGTTCATTTGAAGATGTTTTGACCTACAAGAAACAGGAGACCACTGCTGTCCTGATTCTCCTTTGAGAATCACATGTGATGGATCTGCCCACAGGCTTTGTACGAACCTGAGCCCTTGACATTGCAAACTCGTGCTGGATACCATCCAAGCGCACTGACTGAGAAGTTTGAGCCACAGTTCTCGCAAACTGTCAAATTCTCAAATTGTCATGTTTTTATGTCCCTTGTCATGTTGTCATATTTTTCATTATCTTCCATTATTTTCCCTAATTTCCCATGTTTTCTCATATTTTTAAAGGGGTTTTTCTCACCCCATTTGGGTCTCACCCCCCAAACTTTTCAGTGATATAATGTATCTATGACACGTAGATAAAAAGAAACCAAAAAGTCTATACATTCACATACACACATAATACACCATTATATTATATATTAATTATATGCCAGTATAGTAATTATATGCCAGCAATCAAGACACTGCTTGTGCAACAACCGTCACAGCATCGCCATCCTGCAACGCCGCATCCCGCAAGGTCCGCGCTCCCTCCAGCAGGTGTCCATCTGCGGAGACCTAATCGCACGATGCTGCTAACAAATTCAAACAAGGTCTATCAACAAGACTTGGTCGTCTCAGCTGAAGCGTATTGCTTTGTGAATAGGTGTGAATAGGCGTGAATAGGTGTGAATAGGTGTGAATAGGTGTGAATAGGTGTGAATAGGTGTGAATAGGTGTGAATAGGTGTGAATAGTTGTAAATGTCTAAGTTGGAAACAGGCTGACAGGCTGGCAAAACTGAAAGCCCAAATCCTCTATTCATACATCACGAGTTGAAAGTTGCTGGCAAAGGACCAAACTTTGGATGGCAATGCCAAATCGTTGCTGGGCAATTTCCTTGAGCTCATAAAGCAAAGTCTCTTCGCTGGTGGTCACGGGCACTTGTCGTCCGCTGGGCAAGTAAAGGTCCAAGCGCATGGCCCAGAAGGGAAGCAGCTACTGGATGTCTTCAGATTTTGGTTTACACTTGGAAAAAATCGTGGCTATCTACTTTTGGTTCTCGCATCTGCATTCAGAGCTGGCCCTTCCCATCTGGAATCTAGATTTGCTCTACTCATTGCTGGATCAGAATTGTCATGTTTTTCAGAGCAAGAAAAGTATCTGCTGGCACGGACAGGTGTGAGACGATCAAATGACCAGCAATCTGACAGCATGAGAAGACATCTGCCACTTTTCAGAGATCAGACAAGTCATTCATGCCGGAAGGATTTGAAGGTAAAGTAACCGATGGAAGTGTATGAAATAGATTGAACTAGCATCAAGAGCAATACTACCGGAAACAAATGCCTGAAATCATGATAAAATCATAATGTTCTTGGGAATCTTACAATACCCGCAGCAACTCTGGGTCACTTGCCACATGTGTGCGGCCTTCCACCCAGCCGGGAGTCCCAACCCTTGCCGCGGAGAATCTCACTGAACTCCCTTTCAAAGGCCCAGACCTGTCAGAGTCAAGTCCCTCGCTGGGTAGAGTCAATCAGAAAAGATGCACAATCCATTCATTCAGTTCAGTCCTTGTCAAGCTTACCTAAAAAGAACACTGTCTGTAAACTCGGTGGTGCCGGATGGAAGGGAATGGTTGTGGTGAGATTGAAGCGTTCTGCATTCGTCGGGTGCCTTTGCTGGTTCGCCAACAAGACCCGCTAGACTCGACACCTGACAGACTCGGGAACCTTTTGAGGATGGAGACACTAAGAGCTGTTGAGGTGACGGTCGTTCACACAATGAAAGCCTGTTCCCCTGTTCTACAATAAGCATAAAGTCCAAAGAGATCAAAAGAAAAGAAAGCTTCCATCCGAAACAACTATTCATGCGTGCCATGGGTATCTGAAGGTTTGATGCCGTTTCTGCTCAGCTTGAGCGGAAAATGTGAGCATCTCATGCACATCAACCATTGAGCAGGGCAGAGACAGCATCTACCATTCACCAAACCAACGTGGACCCCGCGAATCGCACATCCCAAGAGGAAAGTAGTCTTCCAACTCGCATCATGGCAGGGTCTGTGTTTGTTAGGGGGATGATGGTAATTGAAAAACATGGGAACTCGTCAGCTTCACCAAACTCATCATATGACTGGCTCTTGATCTGCCTCCATCGCATCGTAGCGTTTCCAAAGGCCATCTCCGTCACGATAGGTGGGCACACCACTCTCCTGCGAAAATGCTGAGTGTCAACTCTGTCAACTGCAACTGTAGCTGCCTGAGCCATCATGGCGTGCTCATTGCTCCTTGGAGATGCCGGCACCTGTGAAGGCCAGCGCCCTGCCTGCAGAGATGAAGTCAGCCTCGCAACCAGATGATGAACGGGGTCACTTGCGAACTTGCGGCGATCGTTTTACCATCGCTAAGTGTCACATAGGTTGACTATCTTTCTCTGGCCTGGGATTCACCCAATGAAATGTATGAAATCAAGACAGGACTGGGTAGACAGGTGTCACGAAAATGATTTCCTACCAAGCTGTGACCTCAAACTACAACAAACTCAATGCAAATTGCTTTTTGATTTTGAAACGAGTCTTTTCAACAGAGTGAAACATTGGCTATTTTCGCAGCCACACGCTCCCCAGCTTGTGATCAGCCAAGGCACTGCAGTTTGCATGGGAGATGCATAGGGCGCCAGGCCTTTGGGCAATTTCTCCACATTTTCATCAGGCTCAAAGAGCTCCCACCTGCCAGCTCTCAAATGTATCACGGGAATGGAAGATTGCGAAAGACTCAAATTGCTGTATATTTCGTTTTCCTAGTTTGTGTCTGTGTGTATCAAGTGTCTTCTTGGTGTTCCTACAGCAGGATTTGATCCTCAAACGACTATAGTTTGCAATCTCTTTGGCGTCCCTGCTTAACTTTGGCGCCGTCTGGACAGAGACGGATGGCTGGTCCTACCTCAAATGGTGCAAGTTCCGGCTGACCCTTCCAGTCTTCAGTTGTCAATGTTTGGGAAAAACAAGTTGTGAGGGCTAGCAATGGGATGACTCTGTGTATGTGTTGGTTTGAACTTTGGCTTTCCACATGATTCGAGGACAAAAGGAAACACCTCTAAGCAGCTGGAAACTCAAGGTGGAGCAAGACGACAATAAGGTGAAGGACACAAACATACTACCAAAAATGCGAGGAACGAAAGCATCAAGGCAAGTTCTGTGCAAGCCAAGTTCTGTGTTTGTCATTTGTCCATAGATCGATTGATTCCTTGAGTTGTCAACATCTTCCATTCGACTTTTGGGGATTGATCTGGGTTGGGATTTGTTGCTGAGTTTCCCGACCAAGGCTTCCATGCGACCATCGAAGTAGCAGCAACAACCAGCAGTTTGTCCAATGCCCAGGCCACGCAAGGAGGGCCCCTGCAGGGCTGACCGGGCTGACCATCAACTTGCCACGCAAGAGCGAAGTTTGATTGAGTTTACGTATGCTGACAAAAAAATGGAGGAATATGTGCAACACTAAGGGGCAAAAGATGATGCCAAACTAAATACATTGAGTTTGTGGCATAGCGGGAACAAAAACAACTGCGTCAATAAAATCAACGTTGCCTCACCAGTCTTTCCTCGCAGTTCCTCCCAACGTTGAACGCTCAAGGTCCTAAGCAAGTCCACATCCCAGAGAAGCCAAGACGGGAAGTATGGCTTGAATTGCTGAAATCACGCAAGATGTATCAGCTTCTTTATGTACAATAGATTCAGTAGGAATACACCCCATGGACGCAAAATGAGCTTGTACATGCTTGTACCATGTGTACAAACATGCACCTCGTATGTCATACAGAAACAATACAGCATTGCAAGATATTGCAAGGGCAGGCAGTCACTCACATCTCGCTAAAAGACATCCAGGTCGCTCTCTGCCATTCTCCTGGCCCAATCCAAAGACTAATGTTGTAGGCTCCTGCAGGAAAGGATCTGTTGCTTCCAGTTGCTTCCAGGGAGCATTTTCTCAGGTCTTCGGAAACAATTGAAACCATCAACCTTCTATATCCTTCTATGACCTTCCCAAATTGAGCAATGCTTTAAGAATTCACAGACCCCTCCTCGTTGTGAACATTGAGAACACCCTCAGGAGGCAGGCCGAGCAACACGACAATGGAGCCTGAGCAACTTCATGCTTCAAATCCGCATCATTCCGCGATGCTTCATGCCCCTTGAAACACATAGACCATAGAAGATCAGACAAATGATGACAAATGCGAATGGCAGTCATCATCCAAAATTGAATGTCCGCTGCCTTCTCGCAGAGGCCGCTCCCTCAGCAAGGCAAAGGTTTCCTTGGCCACACCGGGCATCAGCAGCAAGATCAAGGCGGCTGGAGCTCCTGGTTCCACGGTTTGAGCTGATTCCGTTGATTCCCTTGACAGCTTTCCGCCTAAGATCGTTGAATGATGTTGAATGTTAGGAATGGAGAAATTGATTGAATCCTTATGATCACAAGAAAATCATAAGATGTCATCAGTTGTCGAACAGGCAACATGAGGCAACATGAGGCAACATGAGGCAACATGAGGCAACATGAGGCAACATGAGGCAACATGAGGCAACATGAGGCAACATGAGGCAACATGAGGCGACATGAGGCAACATGAGGCAACATGAGGCAACATGAGGCAACATGAGGCAACATGAGGCAACATGAGGCAACATGCACAAAATGAGTCAAGTTTGGTGCTCGCCCATGTTTTTCTCCTTCCAAGGACTCCACCAGCTGCATGGAGCAACCCAGCTCTTTTAAGACATCTTGAAGCTGATCCATACCATCTGCCGGCTGAGTCGACAAAATACAAAGCATCAAACCTCAATTGCCTCAACTTTCACTGATTTTCCAATTTTTCCACAATTTCAATGAACATAACATGACATAAATTGACATAATTTTGCAGTTGGCAGCATCTGTGCCACGCCCGAGCCAAACAGATCCAAACAGGATGAAGTACACCTGAGACGGAAGGCTGCCAGACCCTGCTGCCTGGCAAGGCCGCATCTTTCGCTAGGACCAAAGCAAGCGGCTCTCCTGAACACAGTCACCAGTCACAGCAGAGGGTTTGCAAAACGCAGCGAGTTTGTTCCAAAATTCTTCTTGAGCTTTTTTGGGGTATTGCGCCATGAACTCAAGAGTTGGTACAGAAGCTGTTGGTCTTCTGTGCCTTTCATGTGCGTCAGAGCCAAGCGCACTGCTGTACGCCAAATGCCGGGATCCTGCCACAACGTTTGGGAAACCGCTCATGGCAGCCTCGCAATCTAAGATGCTGAAAAGACAATGCCTCGATCGAAAAGAAAACACAGCATGTTACAATGTTAATCTGTGAAAACAAGCATGTTATACAATGTTCAAGCTGGTGTCTTGGCCACGTGGAGCTGACATCTCACCGAGTCATCGGTCCAAGTGATGACTCGGTGACCAGTCTCCGTCCTCCTGCAGGCTCTCCAAGATCCCCTTCTGGTTGAATACCAAGAGTGAGGAGCCAGGACCACATTTTGTCGCCTTCATTTCAGACTACAGTGGCTACAGGCATGATCAGGTAAGATCGCACAATGTCGATCTCAATTCTGGTTGCTAGCTAGTTTACGATTTTTTTTTGCTTGAACTCAAATTAGCCGTTTGGATGTGCCGTCATCTGGACAACAACAACCAACCAGTCATCTGAGCCATCTGTTTGTAGCAATGACGGATTCACATAAGACAAACAGATATTGCAAATATCTTTCTGTCTCAGTGTCTGAAGAGTCTGAAGAGCCCCTTGGCGCCTCCCACACAGCAGCCATGCTTGAAGACTTGTGCACACTGCACTCACGCCATCATGCGCACGATAGACTCTAGCACTAGATGTTTCACTGATGTTTCTCCTTTGGAGCTTCCCAAACTTCAGATGTCTCCAGAGGGATTCACCAGGATGCAAACGTCTGATATGCTGTGCTATGTGCTGTACCGTCTTGTCAGTGCTGCAAGTTTTGCCGCAGGCGTTCCACGGCTAATGATTCTCATCATGAACACATGTCCATGCCAATGGCGAATTTGTGAGTGATTGTAATGTTGCACCATGTCCTGCTTTTTTTGCCTTGGAGGTCATCTATAATTGGCTTGAGAACCTGAAGCCACCATCATGCATAAATGTGGCCACAATGGCATGTAAAGTGAGAACTGGTCTCAGTCTCGCTAAACCATGAATCTGTCCCGCCAACATACTCAATGGATTTCTAACACAATGCTACACAACAGCTTTGCAGGAAGGGATGGAAGAGGATCAAAACGGCCTGTTTCCTGCCAGATTCCAACCCCTGCCACATTCGCAAAATCTGCTGTTGCTCTCTCTAGCACCCCACCGCCCTTGCGTTCCCAACACGCTTGGAAAGAGATCCTCCAGCTCCGGAAAGTCCTTGTGCTCAGCGGCTGTGCTCCAGAAATGTGTTGCGCGGTGACACACTGACATCATTTACTCCACGTCAGCTGTTTAGAAGATCTCTCCATTGCTCTGTGCCAAAAGCTCACCACAGATCTGCAAACCTGTTGACATCTGCTGACTGGCCTCCTTGGCTTGAGTCTTGAAGACTACACCAAATACAAACAGCAGCACCAACCTCAGCTGGAACATGCTTTCTGGCTGGCAAGTAGAAACTAGACAAGGTGAGTCCTGGTGTGCAAGCCCGGTGAGTCAGTTTGGTACACAGTTTGGATATGGTTCCTGGTTTACTTGGCATCAACGGCTCCTTGCACTGTTGGATGGATCACAACCATCCTCTTATGCTTGGCCCCTAAGGCCCGGACAACAGCAGCAGGGTGAAGAAGACTGAACGGATAGCAGCAGCAATGCCCTGGCATTCGTCGCACAACTTGAGAAATCGCTCTAAGATGCCCTTGAACAATGTCCAAACTGTGTATCTGGTACAATCTGGCGTAGCAACACATGATAAAAAATTCCCCTTGTGATTCAATGGATTCCTCCAACTCTGTAGCCATCCACTGCCATCTGGCCTTCAGCAGGGTCACCACCTCGGGAACTGCCCGCAGCAATCGGGCAATGCGACCCAACCTGGCCATGGCTGCCCTGTTGTAAAGAGAAAGAAAGTGACTGGCAACTGCCACAGGGGCCTCCCAAAAATTCGCATTAGATCCATCCCATAGATGTTCAAAGCAGATTCAAATTCAACAAACGTTCTTTGTTTCTTAGCTAACGGCGCTTCACCGACCCCTACCCCGATAACCACCTGGTGAGGCGTAGCAAACGCACTGTACGGAGGATTGTGAGCTCCTTGACCTTGACACGATCGGCACTGGGAAGATCAACCCTTTGAAGGCAAGGGTGTTGAATTTTCACTTGAGATAGACCCCTGAAAAAAAAAATAGTCCCTACTATGTTTGATCATGATGTTCGTTTTTATCCTTTCGAGGACCCGTGCAAGTGCTTAAAGTTGCAGATCTGGGTCTGATGTAAGATTCGAGGAATCGTATATAATGGCCTCTATTCTGACATGATCCATCAGAAATGCAATAGGCATGGGGACTATCCGGTTCCAAAAGCTGCAGAACACACTTGACTGTTTGACCTGATCTTCACGCACAAACCAAGCGATGTCTATGTCATCCGCAATGACTTCATGAATCTCCGATTGCTGAGGTCAGGAGGTCAGGAGGTCATCTCCCTCTTTGTGAAAAAGTCCCCCACAGCATGGATTTCGGCTTCCTTGCTGCCAAACCAGCTAGCCTTAGGACAGACTTTGCACATGAAAGTAAACCCTCCCTACACTTTCGCTGAGCAGCAGCTTGATCACATCTTTGTGCTGGATCAGCTAAGATTATATGATTATATTATATATATATATGATTATAGTATACAATATTATACAATATTATAAACTTGCACACAGTGTTTTTGTCTTATACTTATACTGATACTGTATACTACACAAACTGGAATTTGATGGAATTCGTTTTTGACGCTGCAGGAGCCAGCAAAGGACGCCACAATTGTCATCACAATTGGCAGCACCCAAACTTCACCTAGGTAGATTAAAGAGGAGACACTGAAACCTTGCTGAATCCATCTGAATCCTCGATTCCTTTGGATTTTCATGACCAAGTCGCAATTTTCCTTCGCACCGGCACTTTCAACAACTGCCCAACCAATAGTGGCAATAGGAACATATAGGAACTACGAATCGCGCAGAAAGAGTGGTGAATACTGAGCTGCTCGCCAATCATCAGGATCACCAGTGAAGAGTCAAAGCAGAACCTCAGGCAGCTGGTTCCAACCCTGGCAAGGAAGAGATCTGCCTGCTTGCCAGCCCAATAAGACAACCATCGGGAAATCTATCTATATATATATAATATTATACGTATAATTGCTAATCCTCTACCCAGTGAGCAAACCACGATGGCTCCTGGTAAATCGCTTCAGGATAAAAAAAACAAACGATCCCAGGAGAAACGTGACACGGTTTCTGGGAAGCAGTTGGGCTCACCAATGCATAGCCGATTACCTGAAACTTTGTAGCTCAGATCGACACCAGAAATCTTTCCTGGCATCTCTCTTCCGTCTGAACCTCGCAGCATCGAATTCTCTGCTGACCCTATCAGCTTCAGCATCAGCAGCCTCTGAACTGTTTCCCAAATGCTGGAGTTTCTCGTGCCATCTCGTGTCGCTGAGGCCAGAAACGCTGCAAATCTGACGACCTGAGAGCTCGAGGTGCAATGCAGCTATGGTTCTTTCAACGACACAGAAAACGCGAATCTGACACGGTGCACTTATTAGCTGAGAACTCCTATTGTTCCTTCAACATGTGCGCACGCGAGAATATATAGATGCATGGACAGATTGACTTGTTGATTCACCCTGAAGTTGCGACTGATCTCCCACAGAAGCTGGTGCAAAAACCTTTGGCTTCCGCGCAATCTCTGCGGTGAAAACCACGCAGAAGATGTGCTCCACTGCCTCATCGGAAGCAACTTCGAATTTCCCGTGGATCTGATTTCCTTCATCTCACCCTCCCAACTGCCTGATATATTTGGCGGATTTTGGCCGCATATGGAGATGGATCAACAAGCATTATACAATATTTGTGGAAGATGAACAGCCATTTACGGTGCATTGCGTTGTTCACGAGGATACCAGCGTTTGAGCTATAGTCATATGCTGTCATCCGGTTCTGTTGATTCAGTATGTTTTGAAACTGGGATCCCCAGCCATCTGCTCCCCGCCAAGCTCTGACATATTGGTTTTGTGAGGGGCATCAGCTTCCAAGCCTGCAGTCGGAGACTCATTCAAACATCTTGGAGCTGGTTACAGTTTTGTTAAGCATATATAATATATAACTATAACAACTACAGTATCAAGATGGTGATGGTTTGACCTCCTCCAAGTTCTGTGACTTTTGCGATTGCGATGCTTAGGAGGCATACAAATTGCGCGACTTGCATCTTTTGCCAGTGTCCAGAACACATCCCATCAATTAGCTGGGATAAGTGTTGCACCAATCCAAATGGAGTTCAAAAGCACAACCTCAGAGAAAAAAAAGGCAAGCGCAAGGCCATGGCAGAGGAACTTCGAGGCTACCCCACTTGAGTAGCAACTAACAAGTATATTTTGGCGACAAGAACAGGAGGTTGACAGTCCAAACATGCCACAGCCTGTATCTGCTTTCGAATATTGTCTACACAAAATCTGGCGTCCGGGCTAGCATCGAGACCAAAAAGAAGGTGTTGCTCTTGGCGATTGTTGTGAGGCAACCTTGGTGTCAGAGCAGCCCTTTAAATTCCAGGATCAACACTGCAAGCCTTGAACATGGGGATTCAGCCAAAGGGCAACTGGAAAAATAAAGGTTCAAAATTCACCAGGTTGCTGCAAAATTTGCAAATCTAAAGAACCCCCTGATATCCCCTATCCAGAATTTCTGCATAGGTTTGATAGATTTGTACGGACCTCCATGGATCCGTTTTGGGGTCTTTGCCTCAGCTTCTCACCGCTGTCTTTGTACAAATCGCTGACGTGATAGTCACGGCGATCCATTCCTGAGTCCAAGCTGCTAGATCTGCTAGATCTGCTAGGTGCTGGAAGGATAGGGCCGAAGTATTTCGTTCCGGTGGGAATTCCAATGAATGCACATGCTTTGCCCTTGGGCAGTGCTGGGTGGTGTCTTCATTGCCCCTCTGGGAACCGGTGAACCCATAAAATGTGTTCCCACATCAGCAAATTCGGGAAAAAGGCGAGCTTTACATCAAACTTTTCTATCTTTTCTGCTCGCAGAAGAAATTCCAGGATGCGGCATGCTGAGGGCTTTGGGAGAGTCTTGGAAACAGAAATGAACCACAACATCCCTGCTGGCAGGGCCCCTGGCGACTATGAAGCTCTTTTCGCTTTTGCTCGTACTGTGCGAAGACCACGCGTTGAGTACGGCCTCTGGTTCCCCAATGCGAGAATCAGAAGCAAAACAGGTCAAGCAGCAGAGGACAGCTGCCAACTCTGAGTAGCCTCAGAAGCTCTCGTCCCAGCATTTTTGCTAACAATTCCCGGAACTGGTCAGGCAAGCACACAGGTCTGGCCTGTTTCAATCAACCACGCTAATTCGTTCACCTGGCAGCTTGGTCACGGAGTTGTCCCTGACGGAATTCAAAGGAGGTCCCATTCATATCCACCGAGTTCAGTTTCGTTAGGTGTAAATGCGCTTGGGATGTGAAACTCTGAATGTCACAACTCCGGAGAAACAAAAACACTGCCGGTTTTCCCAGTTTAGGGTAGCGGCTCCAGTTCTGAAGGCTTCTAAATTTTCATCCACTTCGATTGAATGAGAACACACCCGAAATAAAAGAAGCAATCACCAAATACAGTGGCAACATGTGGCAACCAGCAAAGTGGCCTTTCTGCGGAATCTCTTCCACCAGCTATCCCGACCTGACGAAGTCAATGGACAAAAGGCACAAGGCAGAAGCAGAGGAAGACGTAAATGGTGGTGTCAACACCCTCAATTTAAAACTAGATCAAGTAATTAAGTGCCCACAGCTGCTATAACTTCGGGGTGCTGGAAGTACTTCCAGTGCTTCTCTCAGAAAAAAATATCCTCTTGCCGATGGAGATATGTGGGTCCGATGTGTTTACATGCTCTGATGGATCTTGAGTCCATAGAGTAGACGTCTGTCTTCCCGAAACAAACACACGCCAGGAAAACACAAGCCATCCCCGTCCCCCACAGGTTCTCCTTGCCTACTCGCCGGATTTTTCGAGTGTTGCCGGTCTTCGGATCGAACTGGATCATGTCATGGAAAAACCTGCAAACTGTCAAATGAAAAAAGGTCTTGATTGAGTTTATTCCTGTCGACTGGGTACCCAAGGTCAAGCGTCCATTTGACCCTGAATCTGCGCGAAGAATTGCCTTCAATGGTTCTGAGTCCTACCCCTTGCACAAGATATTTGATCGCTGGGCTGCACATGCTGCACACTTGCTATCGCATTGTTGTGTGCCAAAGAGGAGAGTCAAATCATCCAACTCGCACTGGAGTTCAACTCGCTGATGCTCGCGAGCTTGCTAAGTAGCTGGCAGCTCCATTGGCGTGTCATCCATCTTGCCAGCCCTTTGCAGCCAGAGCTGATAGGGCTGTGTAGATTCAGAGGCAAGGGGAAATGATGATTCCAAATAACAATTTCAAACAAGTACTTAATGTTGCATTTAAGATCAGCAAGTTTGGGTTGACCATTGTCTTCTGAGTCCGCAGCTTTAGGCGCACGCGAGAGAGGCCCCTCTGGAAAGCATCCTCGATGCGGGCCGTCCTTGGTGAACGCCGCTACACCGGAAAGAAATG